TATTTTTTGATCCTGTTTGTTCGAAATTAAGTAAAGAGTCTCTTGTATATTAAAAACTGCTTAGATGTATCTTATTTTTAGTTGATTTAGTTGACTTGCTATGACTTACTGCTACAAAAAACGTAAAAAATGAAAAAAAAAAATTTTGAGCTTAATTTTCAGAACATCCTTATATTAATATATATTCTTTTTTTAAAATTGATGTAAAAAATTATATTAGGGTGTACAAGTAACTTGGATGACATGGTTTAATGATAGTGAAGCTTAAAAAGCACCACAAATAAGTGCCATGTTATTTTAAAGTCCTCCGCACTACTGTCGAACATAGAAAAAAAATGCCGCTCCCAAAAATGTCAAAGACGAGTGATCACGAAAAGTATATTTTTGAGACAGCAGTGCTTAAAGCTTAAAAAATATATTTTTTTATAATTATTCTTTATTTCGACCAACGTTAATTAATGTTTTTTTTATTTTAGTTCATATGGTTTAATGCTCCAAAATTTAAATGAATATTTTTGTGGTTAAAATATTTTACCATATCTCGACTTACCCCTAAAGTTCATTTTATAGTATTAGTTTTTTAATAATTAATTAAAGTAGAAAATGATTAATAAAAAATGCACAAATGTGGGTGTTCTGTACTAGCCCCGAATAAAACACAACGCATTGATAGCAAAACTGATGACATATTATTCTCATGCCACTGTCCAGCAAGACAAGTATGTAACATGTGTTTTAATACTATATTATGCGAGTGACGTAAACGGCATTTGAGTCACGAGTTCACGAGTGACTTAAATAGTTTCCCAAACGCGTCGTATACTATACTTTTTACACGACCATTAGTATTTGGGTACATTTTTTCAAAACAACAGGAATACATTCACTGATATGGCCTTCAACAACTTCATTGCTCCCAAACCCTTGCGATAATATCCCAGAAATGTCAGAAGTGGCTCGGATCTGTGGGAAACGAAACTCACGTGGTAAAGTGACGCTTTCCGTCTGACAGTTTTGAGTGGAAACAACTCATCGTTTGGATACAGTATCGTGTATATTCATCAAGGTAAATTAAGGATGTGTGCGTAATCTGTGTGATTCCATTAATACTCGCCTTTTGTCTATTTTGCGATACTTAAATGCCATTTTACAAATAACTCTATGGAGGGTGGCACGGCTTATATGGGTTCCATCTTCTTCTAGCTTCTTTTTCCTTTTATCCATGGTAGCAACAACTTCGTTTTGATAAAAATAATGTATTTTCCTTCTTATTAGATCCTTATCACGGCGAGTTTGAAAATCACAACGATTATTCCTTATCTTAAATTCTCCACCATTAAAAATATCCCTTATCGACGATATTGGCATTTTTGTAAGCAGACAGGTTTCTTTTAAAGCTTTTTGTCGAATTAGTGGTTAACTGGTTAAAGTTTCATACACATTTTTCCAACCTGTTTTGCATCGAGTGACAAATGATTTCGACGCGACATTGTTATGTTCTCATAAAATAACTTTTTCAATACGCACATATATATATATATATATATATATATATATATATATATATATATATATATATATATATATATATATATATATATATATATATATATACATATACATATATATATATATATATATATATATATATATATATATATATATATATATATATATATATATATGGGTCGAAAATAATTTGATTACACAAAGCTTACCTACGCCTATGGCAGACGCCAAAATTGAAGGGAACTGGACGCAATTTCTCATTTTGTTACTCTACGCTTTTCCGAAATAGCCTATAGCGCGAAATGATTTTAACCTTAGTCTTCGGTCAATAAAAACACACGCAATGGGAAACTACTTGAATTTGAAATTTTTATTGCGGTTTTGGAAGCGTTTTCCATTTTAATCCGGATTAACGCGAGAGAAGTTACAGTCAATGCAATATCCTCTCGGAAACGTTCGAAAATAAACCGGGCTACCAGCGAACCTGGTATCAATTAATCACCCATTTGACAGGTCCGGGGTATGTCTGCACTGGCAGCACGAACGCTCAGAATAGCTCGCGGCCAATTATCTCTTTGTTGGTTATTAAAAGAGACACTTGGCCGAGGTTTGTCGAGGTTCGTCGAGAAAGGGTTGATGATCGTCAAAGGAACGACGACAACGGGAACGAAATCGGCCATTGGCGTGCTGAAGATTTTTCTATTAAAAAACCCATAGAGCGGAAACAACTGCTCGTCGGTGTATGCGAAACGGATAGGCCGTAGACGTTGGGTCTATAATTCAGACGGTGGCGAGCGACGTCGGTGTTCACTGCCCCCGAAGGATTAAAAATAGTCGTCGCGTGTGCCCCTCGGTCGCAGACGGCGACGCGAAAATTCTTCGAGAGATTTGCGGTCCGGCACGCTATATTTGCGACTACGGAGTATAGAAATAAACCCGTTTTCGCTCGCGAGAAAAGAAGGAATATTTCAGCGATGACTCAGGTGGACGACGTTGTCGTACAGCGCGCGGTTTGGCACTTTGGTGGCTCGTAAATATAATGGTTTCGGAGAAAAGGCGTGCGCGTTTGCAGAAGACAAAAAGGCGGGAATCGGAAAGGGCGCAAAAGGTTTGCGGTCACGATCCACCCGTTTCCTCCTAGTCACTCGCTCAAGTCTGTTTCAGAAAAGTGTGGAGTAATAAAATATCGTTTTGTGTTTTGTGTTCGGACAAGAAATTGACATAAGTCAAAAAGAATACGGTGAATTTGACAAATCCTTTACAAATGACTGGAAAGATCTTTTGGCTGTCAAAGTGTCAAGTGTTGAGGGTCAATTGGAATTCCGAGCTCTCTTGTTTGTCTCTCGTCGAATTCCTTTCGACTTCTTTAAGAACAAAAGGAAGAATAATATTAAATTGTATGTTAGGATAGTATTTATCATGGACAATTGTGAAGAGTTAATTCCTAAGTATTTGAACTTTATCAAAGATATTGCTGATTCAGAAGGTTTACCTTTGAACATTTCTTGGCACATGCTCCAACAGAATAAGATATCCGCAAGAATTTGAAGATCAATACAAGAAATTCTAAAAATCTGAAATTAGGATTCATGAAGATTGCGCAAAATATTGCCAAACTTGCAGATTTTATGAGTTTCCATACTTCAACCAGTCGTGATTAGGCTTGTTCATTGAAAGATTATGTTAGCCGTACGAAGGAGAATCAGAAGATAATTTATTACTGATGAGAACAAGGATCAGGGCCTTTGTTGAACGTGTTAAGAAATGTGGGTTTGAAGTGGTTTATTTTCATGTCTGAACCTATGGACGAATATGTTGTTCAGCGAATGAAAGAGTATGATGGAAGACCATTGGTTTTAGTCAGCAAGGAAGGACTGGAGTTGACAGAATATGAGACTGAAAAGAAAAAACGAGAAGAAGATGAGACTAAATTTAAAGGTCTTTTTTCAGCAAACATCGCAGTTAGGGGAAACTTAAGAACCCAACCACCCTAAGAAAGTCTTGAATGTGGGCGCTGAATTTTTCCTGCTTATAGTTTATTTCAGAAAAATCTTAACAAGACTCTCAACACTACATAACTGACTTAGTAAATTAAGTTTAAACTCGACCTATGCACTTTCTTAAATCTCTCCACAGTTTCACATTATATAGGAAGGAACCATTTTTGTAGGTTCAAAATAGATTTCAACTGACATAAAATATAAAATTAGATATGAACAATTTTACAGGTTCTTAAAAAAGATTAGGGAATATATCTTCTCCAAATTATTTAATTCTCTTCCCGTTGTACTTTAGGAAATTCCAGGGCTAATCAATATAAGAAATAACTTAAATATAAAATATGCAGGTGTCAATTGTGTCATTTCTATTACTTTTGAATTGATACAACAAACATCTCAAATTTAAAAAAGTAAAAATTAAGTAATATAAACACAACAAACAAAACAAAAATTAATAACAACGTATTAGAATAACAAAACCTATCTCTAATTTATGTTGGCTTTATCAATATTTCTATTTTAATAGTTTTAATTTAGCTGGGATCATCGGAATCGAAGAATCTTAATTCACTTAGGTTAATTTTATGATCATCAGTTTGGAAATCTGAAGATTCTGAAATTGTAATGTAAGCTAGAATAGAATAAATATTTCTCTTGGAAGATATAAAAGGATTGGAAGAAATGACTTCCTAGTGTCTTCTAAACGATATCTGCGTACTTCTTTATAGAGAGCATCAAGCGCGTCTTCCGATAATGGCGCGATCGGTAATTCAAAATGTTCTATTATTTCGCACCAGCAAATCAGCACTTGGCATAAAATACGAGTCATACAAATTAAAGCATAGCTATTGTGTCTTTAAGTAAAATTTTAAATGTGGCCACATTAATTTTAAAACCGCTCGATATCACCTTTAAAATAATATAAAAACTTCTTCGTGGAAGACCTTCGCCGCTGTCACACTTCACCAACTTAAGTGGTACAAAGACTACCAGAAATAAATATTCATCCGTCCTCATTATATCCCTTCAAGAAATTTTTGTTTGTAAAGACTATGATTTCCACTGTCATCGAACAAGAGAGTTTTGCTTTTATAAGCTATGCACACTTCTTCTTCTTCTTCTTCAGCTGCCTATCCACTACTATTGGATACTGGCGATCACATTTCCGTATGCTACCCTGTCCATTGCTGTATGTACAAGGTCCCCGATATTTTTCAAGCCAGTCCATTCCCTCAGGTTTCTAAGCCATGACATTTGTTTCCTTCCTACGCCACGCTTGCCCTCTATCTTACCCTCGACGATTAGCTGGAGAAGCCGATATTTTGGGTTCCTCATTAAGTGTCCGAAATAGGCCGTTTTTCGTTTTTTATGTGTAATAGAATTTCTCTGTCTCTGCCCATTTTTCTCAAAATTTCCTCGTTTGTAACCCTTTCGACCCATGATACTCTCAGCATACGGCGGTAAGTCCACATCTCAAACGCTTCTAATCTATTAATTGATGTTGTTTTGAGCGTCCATGTTTCCATACCATATAATAGAACGGACCATATATAGCACTCGACGTATCCGTCCTCTTAGGTTCAGGCTTGTGTCTCTGTTGGTAAGTATATGTTTAAATTTGAGAAAATAGCTCCGGGCTATTTCTATTCTGGCTTTGATTTCTTTGTCGTTGTCCCAATCGTCATACAGCCAACTACCCAAGTATCTATATTTCTTGACTCGTTCCAAAGCCATTCCATCGACGACGAGTTGCGCATTTACATAAGGCACCCTGTCCCTACTGATTATCATAAACTTTGTTTTATTACTATTTATGTTTAGTCCATAGTTTTTACTGGCGTCGTTTAGTAGAGTAATTAGTTGTTGTAAGTCTTGGATATTATCCGCTATCAAGACAGAATCATCCGCGTACCTAATGTTATTCACATATACTCCATTTACTTTGATTCCGATGTCCTTATCTTCGAATGCTTCGCCAAAAATGGCTTCTGAGTACACGTTAAACAAAAGTGGGGACATGATGCATCCTTGTCTCACTCCTTTACGTATTTCTATATCTTGTGTTTTCAGTTCGTTTGTTGTTATATGTGATGCCAATATAGATTTTGAATGCAGCGAACATCTTTACCATCTACATCCATTTTTTGTAATATCTCGATTAGTTTTGTGTGCTGCACTCTATCAAAGGCCTTTTCGTAATCAACAAAACAGAGAAAGACGTCCTTTTTTACATCGCAACAATTCTGAACCAGTACGCGAATACTGAAAAGAGCCTCCCGCGTCCCCATTCCACTCCTAAACCCAAATTGTGTGTCTTTAATACTGTCCTCACATTTTCTATATAACCTGTGGTGTAAGACTTTAAGAAATATTTTTAGTGTATGGCTCATCAGACTTATTAATCGATGTTCTTTGCAGCTTTTTGGATTTCTTTTTTTAGGTAATGGAACGAAGGTAGACCTTAACCAGTCTGTGGGGTACCTGCCAGTGCTGTATATCTTATTGAAAACAACTTCCAATAAAGACAGGTTATCATCGTCTATTAGCTTAATGATCTCGGCTGGCACTTCATCTGGTCCGACTGCCTTGTTATTTTTTGAAAGTTGTACCGCTTTACGAATTTCCTCTTTTGTTATCGGTGGTCTACTCAACGATTCACCCACGGGGTTAATTTTGAGGTCCGTTCTCTCACTGTCTTGGAATAGTTTTCTTATGTATTGCTCCCACATTCTTCTTCTTTCATCCTTTTCCAGGATTATCTCGTTTTTGTCGTTGACTAGAACTACTGGTGCCTTGGTTTTATATATTCCAGCTACCTCCTTTAGCTTTTTATGTTCGCTATGAGTATCATGTATCTGTTGGAGTCTCTCTATTTCTTGGCATTCTTGTTCTAGCCACTTTCTTTTAGCTTTTCTGATTTCAGATCTAATTCTAGAATTTAAAAGACTATATTGATCAGGGTTTACATTTTTATGTTTACGTCTCTCGTCCATCAGTCGTAGAATTTCCTCTGTCATCCATTTGTTCTTAGGAACAGACTGACGGTATCCTAGTATGTTCTGAGAAACAGAGTTCATGGTTTTCTTCAAGCTATCCCATATATTGTCGACTTGATATTCTCCACTCGTCTCTTGCAGTCTCGCCAGTCCATCATTTAATTTTTGTTGCAGAGTCGTCCTTACTTCTTCGTTTTTTAGTTTTTCAATAGCTAACTGAGGTTTTCGTTGCTGTCTCTTAACAAGTGAAAGCTTGACTTTATAGGAAGCCAAAAGAAGAACGTGATCGGATGGCACATCGGCGCCCAGACTCGCTTGAGTGATGTGCCAAGTCTCCTGTTTATCAGTATAAAATCGATTTGATTTCTAACGATGTTCTCCTTATTATCCTGAGGTGATCTCCATGTATAAAGTCTTCTAGGGGGTAACGAAAACCAAGTGTTTGTTATTTTAAAGTTCTCTTCCTGGCATAATTGTACCAGTCGATCTCCCCTATGGTTTCTATCACCCAATCCATATGGACCGACAATTTGGTCTGCTTGTAAAGAACCGATCTTCGCATTGAAATCGCCTTGTATTATATTGATTTCGTGTGGCTTGGTTAACCCTAGAAGTTCCTTGATCTCGCCATAAAATTTGTCCACTTCGTCATCGCCTCTATCGAGAGTTGGGGCGTACACTTGGATTATGTTGATGTTAAGCGGCTTTGTTCGAATTTTTAATAACATTGTTCTGTCTGAGTAGGGAACAAAGTCAGTAACACTTCCAGCTATTTCTTTGGTGACTATGACCCCTACACCTCTTCTGTGGTCCCTGTCATTGTTACCTGAGTAGTAAAATCTTTTGTTTTCCATTCCATGTATTGTGTTGGCTAGTTTCCCAGCCTCGTACATACTCTGGACATTCCATGTCCCTATGTTTAAAACATCTTTACAAATATTTTTGACTCCGGGGATTCTTAGCACCCTCGTTTTGCCGGAGACTGAGGGCCGATTTTTTGTGTTTTCTTCCATGTGATTTTCTTGGGATAAATACTTCAGTGGTTTCCCGTTGCCTTCTGAAGGTAATTTTTAATCAAGATTGTCTTTCTTTAGACTGACTGTCTTACTGGACTTGCGAGATCAGCCTTCCCTTGAAGATTGTTCTTCCGCCTTCCGGACCATTGGAATATTCGTATCTCTTCTGCTCCTTCTGCCGTTGACTATCTTCACCGCACCCTGGCAGGGGCCCTTACAGAGTGCTATCATTCGGGCCAGATGAACCCTGGTTTTTTAACGAGGTGTTACTCCTCGATCCCTCCTCCTTCCTCATCTCTTGTGTGATGAGACCTCAGGCTTGGGACTGGCATAGCGGAGTTCTATGTACACTATTATATAATATTTAAATAATATTCCGCTGAGATTTCTGTTACTTCTAATTTGGAAGGTAAAATTTGATTTTTATAGTTTCTTAAAATATGTTTACTTGGAAGACACTGTTTATGATCCTTATGAAAAGAATGAATAACACTTCTAAAAATACAATTGTTTCGCTCTGAAAGATTTAAGTCTAGAATTAATGCTAAAGTATTTTCTGTCGTTATACAATATTGGAGTTGCATGGTGTTGAGGCATGTCTTAAAAATTTCTGATGCAAAATTTCTTCTTCCGGAGATGTATTTAATATATCTACAACCCATCGTTGTTTAGTTTTACTTGACGCTTCATTGACAGGTTTAAGGGGCCTGCCATGATTAGGTCTCGGCATATCTTCAACGTGCATTCTGGATACATTAACAAGTTCATCAGGAAGTGAACATTCACAACTGAACCGGTCAAGGTAACTCTTTAAAAAACGTGACAATTTCTAAATTTAGTATTGACAGTAAAGCGGAAAAATTTTACTTTTTGTTCTAAACATTCAAATGTATCATCTGGAATCACTTCAAACTTCAATAAGTACTTTATTTTGTTGATAATACAGGGCACCCGTTCCTCATTCGCATAAAACTACTCGTTTAAAAGGTCGGAGTTTCTGAAGTAAAAATTTTCTCCTGTTCTCCTATAAGAAGAAAATGCAAAAAGGTTAGAGTAGCGCATTGTAGGGGCTAATGTCGTTTAAATATGAATGACAATTGTTAAAAAACTTAATAACTCCGACAAACCGATACAGAATTAAACATCATATGGATATGAAAAATTGCACACTGTCATGTCGATTTTCTATTATGTAAAATTAATTTTTCGATCCTATCTAAATTGTTGTAACACTTTGTTTACAAACAACACATGTCAAGTGGTCCATAAAGTAAACGCTTTTATTAAAAGCGTAAACATTGACTTTCAACTGAAACAAGGGGACTTGATTGCAAATGAAGATTCCATCAGTTTTTACGATTTCCGACAGTCCTTTATCAGGAAATAATATTATGAGAGCTTTAAAAAAGGTGAAAATAATATTGTGTAGAGAACTATGCAACGTCAAAGATACTTTTCCAAAAATCTTAGGTAACATATTTTTTCTACTCCCTTCTGTAAAATACCTAATTATACACCGGCCTATCTGCGGAAAGCGTCACTTTACCACGTGAGTTTCTTGTCCCACTGATCCGAGCCACTTGGACATTTTCGGGATATTACCGCACAGGTGTGGGACGTTTGACGGTTCTGACGGTCATGCCCGTGGAAGTATCCGTGTTGTTTTGCAATAATGTACCCAAAAACAAACGGTCGGAGAAAAGTATAGTATGCACCTTATTACTTCGATTTCAACAACGGATAGACACCTACAGTCGGAGATATTATGTACCTACCGTGTTTGAAGGGTGGACTCACAAGTAATTTGTTTGTGACACAAGGTACAAGAACAATATCTGACGTTTAAATCCACATAATTTTATTTATGTTGTAATGTAGAAATATTTTTTTGTGGAAAGTAAACCCCAAGAATCGTAAACCTAATAGGTTGGCCTAATCCGCCAAATCTGTCCGCAAGTGCAATACGAAAACTCTCGCTGCATGGAAATAATCTGAGTATTTGAGTATTCTGAGTAGCAAATATAGCATTTTGTTTGAATAATCACTCGTTATTTTCATTTAATGTCAACAGTACTTATTTAATAATTATTTTAATTTAACAATTATTATAATATTTTTTAATTTTTTTCAAAAAATGATCAGAAGGCTTTATAAGGCCCCCATATGATAACTGTTGTACCCAAAAGGGAATGCTGTAATGATGATCTGTGGTAATTTTATAATTATAATCTCATAAATTGGTGATATCTTTTTTGTGTTTTTCAGCTAAGTAGCTCGCAATGTACTCCAAAGCATCTTCAGTGGTTTCCTTAGCACCCTGATTAAAATCAAATTGATTCTTAGATCCACTTGAGGACACTAATTAAAATGACGAGCTGCTTTGGGACTCATTACGTAAATTGTAAACAGGCGTATCTTTAATGTCAACTTGTGCAGTTTCCAAAACTTTGGTACAAAAAATGTAATCGTCTAAAACTCGCTCTTCTGTATTTACTTTAGAACCTAAAATACCAGGATTTTTTCCTAACAGAATCATACGAATTCTGTAAACGGCCCCAAGAGGTGTTGGGTGTTCATCTGGACCCCCTCTGCTTCTTATTTGAAAAAAAAAGTTCTCCAAACTATCCTGATTTAATTTATGAGTACAAATATATTTCATGTCTAAAGTGGACTTCATGTCTTCAAACAAATTCTGTAAAGAAATAATTCACATTAATATGCCTTTTTGAAAAGTCATTAGGGTGTTTTTTCCATCAACGCTCATATTATGCGTTCTGGAGATGGATTTTTCTCTAGAATTTTAATTGTGGTATTCGATATTGTTGCTAAAAGTTCAGACAATACCTGCTGATCTAGATAATCCTGGTTGGTGGCTTCTGGTAAAATAATGGGAACAGCAGTTTTTTTAGAATTTTTTTAAAGGTAAACCTAAAATTTAAATTTTGTGGTGAATTTAATGTGTTACTCAAGACAAAAAAAAAACCTAATAACTCATTTCGTAAGTCTCTTTCGTAATCATTTTCAGTAAAATGAACTGAGCAGTTCTGGATTAAGTTTGTCCTCTCTTCTACATCGAACTATCCACTCGTTCCGAATAGTTCGGGATACTAGACCTTTCCTTTTGGGAAAGCAATGAAAACTACATTTTCGAGAACTTGCCTTTGCATCAAAATAGTTGTTATTGCACCCATACATGACACATCCCGTTCCAGGCATACTTAACTATTTTTTGATGTAACTTATCCCACTGAAAAAGGTAAAAGAAATGTATTTCTTACCTTTACCTATATTGTTATGTGTAATATTTTGAGCTTACGTCCTAACTAATAACACCGTTAATAAGCAGCACGAACACAAAACTTTTAAGTCTTTGTTTAAGGTTAAAAATACTGTTTTTCTCAGTTCTGGCCACTCAAGCACATACAATTTTAAAGTATTTGTTAAAGCTTAAAAACACTGTTTTTTTTACAGAAATACAATTAACACAAACATAAGCGCACTACTCACTAGTTTAAATTATTTTAATTATTCAAAAAACACAAAATACAACGGTTTAATACGCCTTCAAATGCATTGACAGAATACACAAAAACCGTTAGATTACTTCACTTACGTCACAAGCGACCACGTGCTATCGATAATTTTGGCTAACGTACGTCTTATGGGGTTGGGCAATCTTATTAAGTTTACGATTTTTGGGTAAACCCTATTATTTTTACAATTTTAAAGTGTGCCTCCAAAATATGTGGTTGTCGTGGTAGAATAATTTTTCATGTTATTACGTAGAAATTTGGGGCTCTTTCAACATCTGTCACTTATTACTTGTTCTAGAAAAAAAATGTTAAATGCAAAAATTATAGATATGACTAAAAGAAACTATTTCAAATTATTTTTATATATACAGGGTGATACATATGTGAAAAACCAAACCAACCTGTGTATTAATAGATACTTTATGGTTACGGTTATGGAGTGTTTTCGGATTTATGGCATAATTTCATAATTTATAATATTTTGCCAAAAGATAATAATAATAATAATTAAATTACAACACATTTTTGAAAAATGACCATAAATCCGAAAACACTAAGTATAAACCATAACAACACATTATTTTATATTTAACAATTTGCTCTAAAACAAATAATAAACGAGATATATTACTGTGACACACTGTTTGACACCCTGTATGTGGGTTAAATTATATTCAATAGGTTACAGGCTTGTTAAGTTTTTTTTCCCTTTGTTCGTATGACATATTTTTTACGTCGTTTCACTTTATTATAGTATGTGACAAATTTTAAATAAAATACTATTATTATTACTATTATTAAAACAATCCAAATTAAAACTTCCTTGCATACTTTTCTTTTGACTTTTTTTTCTCTAGTCCCAAAGCTCGACTGGACTTTACTTGTAAATGCAAGAAACAAACAGCAATCATGTCATACATATTTGTATTTCTTTTAATGTTCACAATTTGGATGAATTCATTAGCTAATCGAATTGTGAACGAAACCAACTATTTTTTATGCAATATCGGTAAAATATCTCAATAAACCATGCAACGCATACAGGAAAGGAAGGAAGGAAGATACCAGGCACAAGTACAAACTGAAAATTATGCCATGGCCGACGGAGACAAAAGGGACAAATGTTTTTACCAAAACTAGAGAGTAAAATAACTCATCCTGACCGACCGAACATCTAAGCGATCACAACTTTAGAAATCAAAAATTGCTTGGTCTGTGGCGTCCGTCTAACATCGTCGTAAAGCACTTCTATCATTTTGGGTTTCATCAATGTAACGTTTACACTTAACTGACATAAAGAAACCCCAAAACGTCGAGAAGGATAAAAACGTAGTCGAAAATCAT